ATAAATCCATTCGTCATTGTTCTTTGTAGTATTATTAACAACATTTGTTAGTCTGTAAATAGGGCCTATATAATTTTTATTTATCCAGTTAGTTTTATAGACCATAACCTTTTTAACGGAAACTTGAACGGCCCCCACAAAGACACTTTCAGAAGCAACAAATCCAGTTTCCGTCGATTCAACTTTAAAAAATCGATTACCAACACCTACACCACATAATTCTTCGGAATGAAAAATGCATTTGCCTTCTAATATTTCTGGCGAAACAAGACCACACAGACGAATTAATTCCTTCTCTTCATCTCTCGTCAAAAGATAATATTTTTTATAAACTCGGAGTCGTTTAATCCTATAGTCTGTTACTTCTAACTGTATGACAGCACAAATAGAATTCAAATAGAACATGAGTCGTGCTTTATCATTGTCGGGAATAACAACAGTTGGTCCAGAAGTATCCGTTAATATCACAACTTTTTGGTTAAAACCGAAAGCCATTGTAATTCAATAATTTATTACAAAAAAGTCCAACAGTAAATGTATCCAGCTATTGTAGTTTATGAATCCTTTGATTTGTGAACAATGCCAAGTAATTTGTTGAGAAGATAAACTAAATGATATTTATGTCAGTATACACGTAGGTATTTATACCGTTTGAAAAGAAACAGTAATTCACAAAACTTATGAATATATGGAACAAGGAAGTTATAAAAGACAGATAGAACAACTGATTTTATATGCAAATATGTTGGCATCAAGTCAACAAAGTCTTCAATAACACATAAAATAAATGCAGTCTTGAATACATGCAATACTGAAATATACAACACAAACTCTGCTGTAGATTCAATGAACACTAATACATACTACTATACTCAACAGCAGCAAAATGACATTTGATTTAGAATGATATAATGCCAGCTTATAAGCAATAGATAGACTAAAGACAAGTACAATACTATAATTGTATAATTATATAGTGAAATTTGCTCAACATGTTGGATCTGTTTCACAGTAATTGTCACCAGTACTAGTGCTGAGAAACGGTCCCTTCATCCGTGTGTCCTGTTTTCAAAAGTTAATGTCTATATTTTAATTTTAATTCAAATTTTTTGAGTGTAGTACACAAGATCCTCTCTCGCGGTCCTGATAAGGACGATTGTGTTGGATTTTTTAGATCCAAACAAGCTACCCTATTAAAATAAATATATAAGACGAAGATTTTTAATTGTAATTATGTACTCTTCATTCAAATTGCTACCCAAGCATCTTGAATAGCTACCTTACTATAGACTGAAATTAAACCCCAGAATTTTTTATCAAAGAATCTTAAACATAGTCTGAGATTTCAACATACGATTTCTTACATCAAAATTCAATTTCTTTTATTCAAACTAAATCATTTCAAAGTCGAAAAATTATTTTGTCTATTTGACTTTATAGTTTCCCAATAGTATGTTATTTCCTCCTGATTTTCTTACTAGCCCATTCGCATCTCAAAGTTAACCACAACCATTGTATTGGCTCCTTTTTTTTTTTGTTATTTCTCTTTGAATAGTTCACTCGGTATCTGTTGTCATTAAACCATACTCACGGTAGGTAAAGTGTCCGGCGGAGATCGTGTTTTTTCGAGTAAATCGGTCCACCTTTTTCGAGTGTAGATCAGGTTTTGTCGAGTGATATTACTTGCGATCAGGGCTCTCGGTCATAAACTTTACTCAGTACTCGGAGTACAAAATTTGTGCTCGAAACACCAAATCCAGGGTTTTGATTGGTTGATTTCTGAGTCTGAGTACGAAAATCATGCTCGAAAGTTTTATGACCGCAAGGCAAGATCAATTTACTGCTATGTCGCGTATATAATAGTTTTATTCATAACTGTCCATCTTATTCTGAATTCTAAACATGTTTTGAACACAAACGACGCTCTTTGTAGTTCTCTATAATAATAGTGTTTTACGTTGTCCGTGTTTTTTCGAGAGCAACATTTAAAACTTCCGGGTTTTTAAACAGATGGTCCGGGGTTTTCAAAGAAAATGTGAATAAGAAAGAAGGCATTCTTAGGCTTAAAACTAACTTTTTCTAGTTTTTAACTGTAATTTAGCGATGGGCAATATTATATTTTCCTAATAAGTAACAAAACATATTACTATGTTGATCAAATGTAACCCTTTTTTCAATTTAATGATAATTGTATGTTCTGAAAACATTTACCCATAACCTTGCAGTACTAAGATACATTGTATATTAGAAATTACTGGATTCTTTGTAAAACTGTCTTTAGAACCGAGAACAGAGGACTCACAATCTTTTCAATATCATTTCATGCTACAATTTTTTTACAGTAAATAATAGTGTATGATATATATATATTACAGTTGCGAAACCTGGAGTTTTAAAAATAGGATTAAGAAAACAAGGGGACAGAAGTTATAAATTCAGTAAAATGCAATATACCACAAATATTCTACTAAGAGAGTCCTGGGACCAGCCAAGCCTCCCCCTCCCCCAATAAATTTGGAATTGAATTGAATATATAATAAACAATGAAAATGAATAATCTATAAGCTTTAATATGATCCTTTTGAAATAATAGTAAGACAAATTTGAATACAATAGTAGTGTACACCTCGTGTTTTTAATTCATGTCTTTCGCAGAGTTCCGTAGATATACATTGGAAATTGTAAAATGTAGATATAGATCCGTATTTTTCATTTTATCAAAGCACTGCTAACTGACGGAAAGGAAGCTATCATGGTGTTTTATTGCTGTGTGACCAAGTATATCATACGCTTGATCATACTCCTCATGACAGTAGTAACATTTGAAAATTGTTCTTGTTTTCCATTCATAGACCGATAAAACAAATTATCATCAAGACAAATAGTAATTGAAACATGTAGGATGTTTTTTCTGTTAAAAAAATAAACATACTCGCTTAACACACACAATGTACGTTCGTCTCAATCCAACATTGTACTGCTTGATACTTTAGTAAGGGAAAACTGATTTATTTATTAGTTGTAACTGGCTTTGAACTGGCTTTCAGCAACCGCGAGTACTCTTATCCATCGATACTTTGTATCTATTGTTTTTATGTTAGTTGGTTTGTTTGTGCTTCGTACCGATCTATTCAGTAAAGCCATTTGTAACTGATTTTTTTACAGTGTGTTCTTGTTTTGTGCTGTAACACCACTGTCCAAAGTTATGGGGAGGGTTGATGGCTTACAAACATGTTTAACCCCGCCACAACCTTTATATGCCTGTCCTCAGTCAAGTGCCTGTATTTCAGTGATTGTCGTTGGTTCACTTTTATCTTCGTTATTTTGTAGATTGTTGTCTCATTGGCATTCATACCACACCTCCTTTTCTTTATATATATATAGGTTTGAAATTTGTTTTCAATTTAGACTTGTATATATATATATATATATATATATAGATTACATTGATACCAGTGGATTATCGGATTTATCCAATCGAGATAGTTAAATTATCAATTTTAAAGTCCGAGCCTCGGCGAGGACTTTAAAATTTATAATTTAACTATCGAGATTGGATAAATCCGATAATCCACGAGTAACTGTGTAAGAATCTGTTTCTCTAATGATTAAAAAATAAATTTTCATATTTTGTTAAATGAAAATCCCCTTCGAGTGCCTTCCTTATCCCACGTAGTTGTCAATTTCATTAACACCTGTTAGCATATTTTGATTCATTCAGTTAGCTGATTAAGGTTATTACCTTTAAATTCATTTAATCATCTTCTGAGATCAACAGCAACCACACGTTGATTAAATTTTTTTATACAATGGGTTTGGAAAGGGATAAATTCCCATAGAATTAGAGAAATATATATATACAACTCGTCTAAACATCAGCCCAACAATGTTAGATCTGTAAATTTGCTTTCGCAAATTTTTTGTTCTTCCCTCGCCGGGATTATATATATATATATATATATGTCTGTGCTCACATTAATATTAATATGTACTGTATAATATCCATATTTGGTTAAATCGACATCGATATACGTATATTTGGATCGACACAACATTTGTACCTGTACGTTGACTTGTTGGAGAGTTCCGCCATATTTATATTGGCTTGGACATTTTTGATATATCCAAATATACCAATACAATCTATAAGATGTGGCAAACAATAATGTATACAAATATACGATGCGTTTTATGAATGTACGTGTTACATACTGCAGTATTATCAAACTGGTTAAATGCATTGGTTTCGTGCTTTGAAAAGTACTTTATTTGAACCTTTTCATTTTTTTTTAACGTGATCGCACTGACATATAATATTTTAAGCCATTGCAACTTTGTTTAATCACTCGATCAAAACCTGGACCGCACTCAAAAAACCCGGACTACTCTCGAAAAAACACGGACATATAAAAATGAATTTATTCTAAAAATGTCTTTCTCAATGCAATAACAAGAATTTTTGTAAAGTGTCTGTTTCCAAATATACATTTCCTTTGACATTTGCATTGGTACTTGTATAAAAATAGCTTTATTCTATATTTTGGAATAAAAGCATTGTAAAGCTAAATTAAACTTTTAGAACACAAAATAATATACAGGTGATGATTTCTTTTTATCACCTATACTAACTTACCATGTATGATTTTGTATATTAATTTTCAGCATCTATTTCACGTCTTACAAAGAAAGAAGTCTGTTTATTTCCATTTTTGATCACTTTCACTCGACAAAACGTGGCCACACTCGAAAAACCTCGATCAAATAACCCGAAAAAAACACGATTCCAGCCGGACACAATACCTACTGTTCTTGATACTGATTTAGTTTTAAATTGCACGAAATTCCTTTATGTTCTAAAAACCATACACTTGATATATAGTTTTTATATAGATCTGTCAAGGTATTTTGTTTCCGTGTTAATTTTCAATTAGTGTATTTAAATCTATGGATTGTGCGTATTGACAAATTTAAATCAAATATCTATACGAATAAAACGTGTGTTATAATAATCAATAGTTACATGTGTACATAGCTACATTAGAATACAATAACCGGTGAAAGTCATCCGAGGCGATAGTAGCAGAAGTATATCTAGAGACACTGCCATGACCATAACAGTTGTTATAGAGTACCAGTAAGTACTAATCAATCTGTGTAGCATTCTATAAAGTAAACAATATATTTTAATAATTACTAACACGTCTTATTTTTTATACTGGCCGATATATTATTGACGTAAATGAATACAAGGGAAGAGACTCTGAAGTAACAACTAGAACCGTTACACAGACTTTTCTTGTCGAATATTTCTGTTGAACTACATGTTTTTATTTTACTCTAATTCAGATTAATATCTTTTCTTTTGATTATTGTAACTTAATGGACTTTAACAATTTGCAATAGCGTTCTGTGCAAAATTATATTATCTTTATCTCAAGCTGACACGACAAAGAACTGTTTTTTTAATTTTATTTTTAGTTTTGCTTAAAGCGATACGAATGATAATCCAAACAAATGGCCCTTGGTTTTGATTTCGTTTCATGTGTTGTCACTAAAGTTCATCTGCGATCATAAATTACCTACCTGAACACTTAAATGCTGTTTTTTGTGGAATGATTGGACCGCAATAAACCCGTAGTTCTCCGTTAAATATAAATACGAAAAAAAAACATAGTGCGAAAAGTAAATAGTTTATCTAATGACTTGGTTATGGATGCAGTTTCGTTTCAGTTTGTTTCAGTTCAGTCTGCTGAACAATATATGAATCTAAGGTTCAAGTTAGTACAAGTATAAACATGTATTTTTAGCAGACGTGATAGAAAAGTAGCTAACACATATCAAGTTTGATAATTAATTCAATTCCTAGTGTTTCAAACTTGTATGCAGGATGTGGTGAGAGTACCACAGTCTCTACACGTTAGAAAATTCGTACAACTCTTTGAGCCGTCCATTGCCTTTTGCAAGGATAAATTTCTCTCTTTGTCCAATAAACCCTCATTGCCCAGTGGCATTCCATATTTCATGACTCATATTGCAGGACCAACCTTATGCATTTGTTATTAATGTGTTCACGTCATGAACACGTATGAAATATTGCCAATGGATTCTAACAAACTAAAATCAATCAATCGATTAAAAAACATTTATTTCATAATTGTTACATGTACAACAATTTGATCTTAGAAAAATGAGGTTATTCTAAATATGTTACTTTTGGTCATAAAGTTCCTAACGTTTCTACGTATTTATACATCCCTGGCTTTCAAATGTTGAGGTTAACTAGAGCGCTCCTGATATTCTACCTTAAATTAACTGTATATTGTGTTTAACTATCATCATGTATCACCCTTTTTGTAAAATTATATCTTTTGATTAAAAAACGATTCAGAGTAGCAATGAACGTACATTCATTTCTACAAGATAATTATTTTTATTTGTTTTCAACTTAGTACTTCTCTGCATGAAATCTGAAACTTATTGTCATACGGAAAATAAAAGATATATAATTGCACCACACTGAACAAATACATACTCTATCTTTTGACATTTGTTCTTCATTTGTGAAATTGATAATTTCAGTCAATAAGTGATCTGAAAATGTCATTGATATATATAATTTATGATTATTTATAAGTTCCTTCTTTTCTAGACTGTAATCTTAATTAACTATTGTCATGTTAGCTTTACTTAATGTAAAACATCCAAGATAAGAAAAAAGGGAGAAGAATCATGCATCTGTCGAAATAGTATGAAGGAAACACTGCCACCATCTATTATCATTCTATCTGTTTGTTGTTTCTCTTTTATATAGGTATGGCTGATGCTCTGGTGGAAGATTTGAGAGATTGAAAGAGGAGATTCTTGTCGTGTTCCCAGATGCTGTCGTGAGGAGCACAATGGGCCCAGAATGTAAAATATATAATATAAATGAAGTCGTGTAGTTGTTGACAAAGATGACATTTATATTTGTCATTTCGTGGCCTTTTATAGCTTACTATAGGGTGTGTGTTTTACTCATTGTTGAAGGCTGTACGGTGACCTATAGTTATTAACTTCTATGTCATTTGGTATCTGGTGGATAGTTGTAGCATTTAATTTGCCAGTCATACCACATCTTCTTATTTTCATATATGTAGTAGTACATTTGCAGACGTTATTCTTCGTTTCCTGACCGGACGTTTGATAATTATCAATTATAATAATCAATATGTTTATGACCAGCTGTTTAATGTTTGGTCACATTTCTAAACATCTTTTTTAGACGAAGTTAACTGATTCAGTTACATGTATGAATAAACGTAGATGTTGGGTACGCGTCAGCGAGACACCAACATAGAAACACGTCTTATTCAAAATTGACGATTTAAAGATCAGTTTCTGACACATGCCTACATTGCTGCACAAGCCTGAAATCGTTCCTAATCTTGACGATTCATTTAAAAACGTTCATTCAATGTATTCAACCTTCAAAAAATTCATATTTGATAATTTCCACAAAAAATATATATATATAGCTACAATATGAAGGGCATTGTATTGTTTATCTTGCTTTTTTCAAATTAATTTTTTATCATTGCTGTCTATCAAATAATGTATCTTATAAGAACTTTTTTTTATTGTAGCTTCGTATGAAATAACACTAGAAGGTCATCTCGTGTTCTCAAAACTCAAGCTCGGGGGTTATCCATATAATGACGACGTAAGTACCTTATATGTGTAGGCTGGTTCTTTCCTTTGCAACATACGGGTATCTGAGCCACCCTTGTGTCAGGGCTGAACAGATAAAGAACATAGAACCAGTCCACTAGTATGATATATTCTGACAACAAAAATATTTTCACTGTTGATATAGTATTAGTAAACAACACATTTACCCTGCACTTCTGATCGTCCAATATGAATAATCGTAGATAAGCATTATTACGACACATGTTTGTTAATGAACTTCAAGTATAGTTTAAAAAAAAACGTATGTGATAATCAATTATTAAATTACCAATTTGCATTGAATCGTGGTTCTTGTATCTGATTACAGCGCATTTATGTTTATATTTTATCAAAAGTATGGAAAATACTTTCAGACAAATTTGACACGTTATTTTATTATATTTGTGGTGATCTAATATGTATTTTGACGTATATTTAATCGTTTATTGTTGATTCTTTACAGATAATGCAATGTTTACGACAAGTTCACACAGGCTGTACACCGGAAGTTGTAATACGAGCTAAAAAGCCTACTTTCCTGAAATAGGGAAATACCCGGAAAAGCCAAATCGTTACTACCTGTATTTAACTCAATTGGTATACCAGACGAACTTGATACTTTTTTCAGTGCACGTGTACATTTTTTAAAAGATTAAAAAAAAATCAATGTCCTCTATGTTTGTTTTTGTCCATAAGTGTTTGTCCAAATCTGTAATATTGCATTAGGTTTAATATCTCCATAAGACTAACTGAGAAATGATGTTTCATAATTTCTAAATGCATCTAAAGTGTTACAAATATGCAGAAGACTGTTTCTTAAAACATGACATTTAAACTTAAAAATCTTAATAATAAGATGAGTTTATATTGATGAATAATTTTAAGAATGTTAACAACTATATCGTCTCATACATGTGTAAAGATAAATACATATTTCATAATTAAACAAAATTTTCGAATATATTTTTTTGTTTCATGCCATATGATGTTCCTGGTCATGTACATTGTTGCCTAACTGTTCAATTTTCGAGAAGTGGAAATTCCCGGGAGACATACAAAGAAGTTAACTAGTTTATAGTTATTAAGAACAAATATAAGAGACAACGATGTTTGCCAACACTCTAATGTGTTACACATATGTCAATCAATTACTACATGAAATATCATAATCGATCTTAAGGGGACGACCATTTGTATTCTTGGGGCGGGGCAGGAGGATTTGTTTTGGATCGGTTATTTATTTTTTATGGACTAAAAGGACATATTATTGATTTTCTGCACTGTTGAAGCATGATTTTTCATTTTCATCAAAACAAGGGACTGATTACTTATTTTCACCAATATATTTTTAATATTTGAAAACACACAATTTTTAAATTCATTTATTTATTCTTAAATGAATACTACATGTATAGTCAAGTCATTATGTACCATTTAACAGAATTAATCATCATCCTCTGGAAGTAAATCTTCTGAATTCCAAACTGCATATGCTGGTTACGTATACAAGGAATTAAAGTTGGGCTGTAACTAGCCTCTTTTAAAAATAATGCCAAACATTTTTGCCGAGCGGAGCGAGACGAAAAAAATTTCAGCTAAGGGTTTTAGGACCGCTGAAGGCCCCAAGAAACTATAGAAAGATGATGCAAAATTGTGCATTCTGTGCGTTTCCCAGACCCTTTCTTAATCTGAAACACAAGTTCTGTTTTAATTATTTTTCGACAATATATTGGTCTCAAAGCAAAATATACAGATTCAGTGTAAAACTTTTAGTTTTTAGGGACCACATCAAAAGACCAATATGTAGGAAAAAGCAAAAAATGTAATTCACATAGTTAAGTATGTGGCAGCTGTTTTTTGTTTTTGTTTGTGGGTGTTTCGGCTTGCAGAAAATCTTTTATACCTGTCAATTATGTGTTTTTTTTTCAAATTAAGTTAAGAAGGGGGATGATTATCATTGATATAACTATGTCAAGTAAGTTTTTATAACACATTTCAATAACAACTTGATGTAGTTCCTAACTGTGCTACAATTTAAAGTAGTTTGTGAATTTAGATAAAAAGTCCTTAAATAAACATGATAAAAGAAAACTCAAGTTTAAAACAAAATTACTAAATTACAAATGGAATGCAACACTAAGAGAAAAAAGAAGGACAATCAATGAAAAAAAACCAGGGAACAGATAAAACACAAAACGACCAACAATAGACAAATAACACTGAAAACTAAAAATAAATGAGAAACATGGATCCCGAAAAACGGGGGCTACGTCAGAGGGTGAACAGAACTTGCTTCTTGCAAGACGATCCCCGTAAAAACAATTTGATATGAAGACAAGCTTTTGTTTTTGAAATTTTCTACACGAGGCATTTGCCTCAATGTAGTTACGGCCCTGTAATAAAAGTGAGGTGAATGTTCCTGAGACAATATACTTCAAGTTAAATGAAACCCATTTTCAGACATTTCAAGTAGATTAATATTTATACATAGTATTGTCATTGATTATTAAATGTTTTGGGAAGTTTTCCTAAAAAAAATGGGAAAAAGACGAATTTTGGAAGAATCTGGTGCCATCTCATACTTAAGAATATCATTTATAAAATGGCTTAATAGACCTGCCGAATTATTTATTTTCAATAATTGTAAGTCAGGATATTTATTTTCAAACTACCACAGAACAAACCATTCATTTTTGTTATTATCGAGGCTATTTTATTTATTTTCAATTTTTGACAACTGGAAAATAAAAAAAAATTGTTGAGAAATAAGTGACTTAGTTGTGCATGTCAATACTTTAACATCAGTTTATTAGAAATTAATATACAAAATATGCAACATTATACTGAACGGTAAGTTTGACAACAACTCTGTAAAAGTGAACATGGTGTACCAAGATGTCCTCTTCGCAACGGGTTTTTTAAGCATCTACCGTGCTAAAAAAATTGAACTCAAAGTATTCAAAATAAATGATTTTATACGGTTTACTACTTGATTTGCAATATTAATTATTAGAAAATATTTCAAGCCTTTTTTTTTTTTAAATATTCCCAAATGTCCACTGCGTAGTGATGTATGTCCCCTATGAAAAGCTCTTTGTCCAATATGCAACGGGTTGTGTCCACTTCGAAATGAAACGGTGCGTAGTTGACCGTTGCGCTGTGGACGTATTTGCATGTTAGGAGCCAGTGTCGTTACACGCGGATTCTCATATACATGATTTTTATGATTATTGTCTTCGATAATATACATTTATTTCCCGTGCCTGAGGGATATATGAAGATTTGATCACCCAAGAATATTCATATTTCACGAGGGCTCTGCCCGAGGGAAATATGATTTTTCGAGGGTGAGCAAATCTTCATATCTCCCGAGGCAAAGGGAAATGAATGTTTTATTCCACTGCCTATGCTTTGTTTACTATCAATACATTAAAAATTATTTTGCATACATTTTGTTTTCTTATCCGCTTGTATTTATAAGTTAAACTAAACACGACATACCCATTGATAAACAGTACGGAGCAAAATTTAATTATTAGTCTTTTTGTTTTATCGTCTGAAATAAATTTGAACATAATAATGATTTTGCTATCGCTATTTTAAAAAGAATAAGAAGTTCAAAACGTTATGTACATTAGCCGCGCGTAACGTCGCACGATGTAATACCGACATTTCAGAGGGGAATATGATCCTCAGAATGGAATATGAAGATTTGTTCAATGACACGTGGGATAGTCTCAACCAATCAAATATTGATTAAACTATCAATAGGTATAAACAGTGGAATAATACATTTTATTTCATAAACACCACGTTTTTTTTATTATTTGACGTCAACATTTTAAAAAAAAAGACGTTGCAAGGTGGACAAGTAAAACACTACGCTATCAATAGGACTTCCCAATTGATTCAATGCAGACGAACTATATCATCAGCATCCATACATTACCGTCATTTTACTAAATGATGTTGAATTAATGACAAGTAAAAGACTACAATTTGAATAAAAGAATGATTATAAGTTTGCCAATTGTTTGTTGTCGTTGCGAAGTGGACATTTTTTCATGGACGCTACTAAAAAAGTTACTAGCCCCAATCTAAATATTTGAATACTTTTTGTAATGTTCAGATGTAGATCTATGACAAACCATTGAAAAAGGTGCAAAAAAGATTGGTAAATTGTATGAAATTTTGAAAGTTAAAATAAATTCTCAAATGTGGACAGAGCGTTTTTGTTGTTTTTGAGGCCGTTGGTCTGATATTTGCAGAGAGTCCTTACCACAAAGCAAACAACAAGGGTTGTCGAATTCTTTTTTAAAATAAGTACAATTTATAGACTAAGACTAAATATATATATGATTTTATCACAATTTAAGCCCTGGACAGAGAACGTTGACTTTTTTTTTGAAAAACGCCCATGTATGTTATTGATTCTTAGTGTGTGTACGAAATACTACTGCCTTCTACATTATGCATGTACTTCGAATCAGTGTGACGTATGAAATTGTCTAAAACATAGGTACATTTGTACATGTAACATAAACAGAATTAATGGACTTTGACAATAGTAAAACAGGTATCCCAGCCATCTACTTGCAAGTTATCACCCGCCCTTATTTCTATCGTGTCGTTAAGTTCTAATTCGGTAATTACTTCAGATGTTCCAGAATTGTGTTCGCTTCCTCCGCCAGAAGACACAAAGCCATTCGACAGAACTGATGATTTTTTTAAAATTTCAAAGTAGGAATTATCAGTGTCTGACAGGACGGTTACCATAACCAGGTAAAAACCAGGAACTGTGCATGTGAATTTTCCTGTTCTTTTATAAGCTTCAATGTTGGAATATCCATAATACGTCTTCACATCGGGAAAGATTATTGTATCTCCATCTCCAAATGTTCTGCTTTGAGGTACACAGGATGTGAGTGCAACTGTAAAAACAAATGCAATTATTACACATAATTAATCTGAGATAAAGTTTTTCGGTTCATT